TAGTTATCAATCAACATAGACTTGTTCATCCTTTTTTATTCCTGTACGTTCCCAGTAGAACATAGGGCTTCAAGCTCGAGGCTTGAAGTTCTTGTAGCAGTGGTGATTATTTTTACGACATGGGGTCGCTAGCCTCATGCCCAACCTTCCCTCTTTACCAGTCTTATTACTGGCTTAGCAAGGTTTAAGAGTGTATCGGCTGGGGATCGAACCCCGGACCACATGGGTGGTTGGCGAGCATTCTACCACTGTGCCACCAACGCACCGTTTATCCTTAGTTGTTTGATTATTTATAGATTTGCTTCAAGGGTTTGCTCGGTGAATATAAATCAAACTTTGATAACAAGAGACTGTTGTATCTTGTAAAAGTCTCTACCCACTGACACAGAAAGGGGCCCACAGGGAATTGTTGATAGTACGCTTTGTTGATAAGTGCTAGCAAGCACGAAACTTGGATTATTGTCACTGCAGTGGCTAAGGATGTAACATCAATTAAAACTGTTAACTCAATTTGATCAACACTAAGCATTATTTAGTTGCACAGGTTTTCATCTGGTGTTCCGACAATCAAATCCTGAGTAGCTAAGCAGTATACTGTGCTAACTTCAGTATTCATGAAAAATTCCCATTTGAACATTAATAGACAGAAGACAAGTAGTTCAGTGAAGAGTCTCTTTTCGGCGAATTCACTATTGACTTCAACAGGTTCCAACCATCGAATGGAATATGGATTTCCTTAAGATCTAATTTATTTCCCTGTTGGTGAGCTCCAGTATAAACACAAACTAACAAACAGTTATTACCAATGAAGAAATCTGTACCACTTCATAACAGTTGAGATTAACTCACATTGATGTACACACAAATTACATTAGGAAAGAAAACATTATCGAAAATTTCACTACATAAGAACGTAATAGTTTGCAAATTTTTTTTTATTCCTTCACATTCCCAGTGGAACATAGGGCTTCAAGCTAGAGGCTTGAAGTTTCTGTAGCAGTGTTTATTTTACGGGATGGGGTTGCTAGCCTCATGCCCAACCTTTCCCCTTTACCAATTTTTTATTTGTGGCTTAGCGAGGTAAAGGAGTGTTTCGGCCGGGGATCGAACCCCGGACCATGTGCATGGTCGGCGAGCATCCTAACCGCTATGCAACCAACGCACAATAGTTTGTAAATAATCAATAAGTATTTAGATTATGGTCATTTGTTCAGTTGTCAGGGAAAACAGGGGAACACTAGGAAGTTGTTACGCCCCAATTTAGAACTCTTTTATCCCTATCAACTTCAAATAGGTAACGTGGGAAGTATCAGTTTGAGGTTGGTCTTTGGTAAGGTCAAGGGTGTGTACTTCTAAAGGGTCCTAAACTGAAGATAAAAGAGATATCCAATCCTTCGTGGTTTTCAGGGGTTTTCCAAATGATATCACTGAGTGACAAAATTACAGAAATAACTCTGTGATCAGAAGACGGCTGGTTGAAAACAAACTTTTTAGTGGGTCGGTGGAATTCGGGCACTTAGGTAGAATATCAAAGTCCATATTAGATCAATTTATTTGATGTATAACATAGTGAGTGATATAGTAATAATAATTGGATCAATACTCTGATTGTATGTTATGTCAAATAAACTTATTGAATATGGAAACAAACGTCTCAGTCCGTAGGGTCCTACTTTGATGAATGAATGTCAGTCAAGTGGCATTAGTGTTCACTTACTATAAGGATATAAAGATTGGCTTAGTTTTAAATACAATATTACTAATAATATTACCAGTGACATTAGTACAAATGTTTTTTTATTGTGGTCAGTAAACATACCTATCCAAACGTGAATTGTATATTTTTTTTGATTGAGGAAATTAACGAATAGTAGTAATAATGAAATTTCAGTTTATTCTGTACAATAACAATGGGATATCTATATAAAATGAAATGGTCTCTACTACAATATTCGAAGAGGACAAGAGGGTAGCCTACTGACGAGCATCAGGCTCGAACTAAACAATTATTTAGTGTACTGGGCAGCTGTTTCGTCCCAATTTGGGACTCATTAATAGTAGGCACTCCCTGGGGTTCGAACCCTGGTCACAGGATGAAGTTGACCGGAGTTCTAGTGAGAAGATGTGACCAGTGGGGTTCATCCGGTCAGGAGTGAGGACAAATACTCGTTAACGATGACACTGGCTCGTGGTCACGCTAAAAAATCACGAATTTGGTAGAAGTTGGAGTTCATGGGCTGGCGATTGTATCGGGTCCTAGTAACTGAATGATCTACAAACTTTCCTTGTAATTGGAAAGTACTGGGTTCTGAACCCTAGTGGATGCGTACTTCCGATGTGTCTCGAACTAGGACGAAACAGCCGTCTAGTACTCCCTGATTTTCAATGATTATCTAATTGATATCATTCCGCTGAAACTTTATTCTTAGACATACTATAATTTTGCAGCTGAAACACTTCTAAAATGCCTTTCCTTCAGTTTGAGTAGTAACTAGAGACTGATAAATATGATGCTTGTGGCCATCAGGTTATTGATATAGCGATTTGCCGATTTGGCTTACTAATTTTGGTAACTAATGAAATTGACTGATTGGTATTCCCTCACTTGATATTATAATTTTGATTGGCACTAGTTTGTTTGAATAAAAGTTTAACAATGCAAGTGTATTATGCTTGTTAAAAATGGCTAATAAGTGTGTCGGTGGCATAGTGGTTAGGACGCTCGCCGACCATGCATATGGTCCGGGGTTCGATCCCCGGCCACCGACGCACTCCTTTACCTCAGTAAGCCAGAAATAAAGCTGGTGAAAAGGAAAGGTTGGGCATGACGCTGGCAACCCCATCCTGTAAAAATAAATACTGCTACAGAAACTTCAAGCCACTAGCTTGAAGCCCTATGTTCCACTGGGAACGTGAAGGAATAAAAACAATGACTAATACATCCCAAGTCAGATCACGGATCGATATTAAGTTTGAGAACCTATTAAAACTAAAGAGTAGTGGACCACTGTTTCATCTCACTTCAGGACTGTTCAGCAGTACGCACACACGACCCCACTACCAGGATCTAGACTAAGACCTTCAGGTTATTAGGCAAGCCTGATGACCATTCAGTCATTGGAATGGAATCCAGGGGCCTATGAATTCTGACTTTTATAGGTTCGTGATTTATAGCCCCACCGCCTTCTGGTCAGTCTCATCGGACCCCATTGGTTATGAATTCTCACGAAGGATTTACGCAATTTCGCTCTGTAGTTACTCATTAATGAGCATCGAATTAGTTTTCAAGTGTTAGTTTTGCAGGGAAATGATTGGTTTCAACAGAATTGCCTAGTAACCTGAAGGTCATGGATGATTACTGCTCAGATGTCCCAACCAAGTACGAAACAGCTGTCAGCAGTTGTAGAATTAATCAAATTCGTAATTTGCAAAATAATTTGCTACCTATGATTTACACAGTTCAAGATGAAATTTCACCTGATCCTTTTGGAAACTGAAATTGTTCAGATCACAATATATGATCTGCTTGTTACCGTAAGTGGAAATCAAGGAAGCAAGCAATCATGTATGGTAGCTGTCTGATTGATACGAATTGTTGGATGTCATTCATATCAACCAGTAGTAATTGTTAGCCAGATCAAAGAGACCTAAATACAGGATGGCTGTTTCGCTCTTTTGGAATCGAGCTCATCAGCAGTTTATACTCAGTTCAGACAGCCAAATAAATTCAAAGCACTGGTACCCACCTGGGCTATTATAACTAATAAAACTATGGACCACTAGACAACTGTTTCATCCTAGATACAGAGTCTTCTACAATGCAGACTCATGGCATCACCAGAGGTTGGAAGTGAAACCTTCGGACTACAAACCAAACAGTGAATTGGAATTAGGTGGTCTATGAACCACTTGTGTTCTTGTGTGGATCATAAAGTACACTAGTAAAATGTGTTATCATTCAAGGAAACTGTAAATTCATTAAAGTTGAGAATCTTGAACTGTTTGACTCTAATTTCAGTGAGTGAATAATATCTTACCTTAGAGTTACCTATCGACAGAACTATGAATGCTCACTGTTCACAAATTAAAAATGAGGGCGAAATACCTATCTAATACTTTAAGATTTCCGATAATTTTTCTAGTTTATTTCTATTTGGGGTAAGACTTAAATATACAAACTCATGTGAACGATCAATAAAATGACGTTGAACAAAAAGTATCATCCTTATCTTGTATTTCAACACTGTTTGGATAGTAAGTTTTAAGGAAAGACCTGCAGCGGTAAATAATTCCCCAAAATTATTAACCACAGCAATCATCACTCAACATTGGATGCTGACCATCACTGTTTAAGTCGACTTGTTTAGCTGAAGGCTTACGGTCAAGCATCCCCGCCAATACCGTGAGTTATATTTTGAAAGATAATCCAAGACCCATTATTCAACGTTTTGTAATACCTTTGAACACTTAACCACACAGATGAATAGAGGAGTTACAAACGATTATCGTTATCCGATTACATTGACAACACTGTTAATCATTCTCCTGAGTTAGTTGACCTGTTGGATGATGGCACGTCATCAGTTACTTAGAAGAAATCGAGCTATTAACTGGTCACGAAATAACATGTTATTCAGTCATGTCGATGAATTCATGCACACTAAGAACTCTAGTGACGAACTGGCAGACATTCTTAGAAGACATAACCTTGCACCCATCATTTCAAACGCCAAGCGGTATCCACTACGCCACTTGGGCACGAGACCCACCTCTTTTGCAACCGGTATCAGTTATTATTGTTATTAGGATTTCCCGCAGTTTGATTCTGTTGGAGCGAAATATTCAATCTAGCCAACATTTTAACATTTCCAACATAACCAGTCAACGGGAAAGGCAAGTTAACATGAAAGTATTTACAGACGTGTTACTTTGTCAGTCAGCTATGAAAATCATATGAATATACATGAATGAATGAATGAATCAACAAATCATCAACTTACTTGAATTGTTTTTCTCCGTTAATACATCATATTGATTAAAGTAATGATTATTCATATTAATCGATTTATTCTTATCATCAATATACCGTTGATAGAAATGTTTATTATCCATATCACATTTATATTCGTTACTACTATTATTATCATTATAACTATTAGCAGTGACATCGTCAGCGGTAGTGGTCGCTGTAGTCCTGGCAACAGTAGGAATAGGAACAGCAGTAGTAGAAGTAGTCATACCATTATTCACTAGTATATCCCATTGCATTGAATGACGGTCATTCAAAAATGAATCATGACTGCTTGCTTCACTTTTAACTACCTCATTCTGATTCCTGTTATCATTATTACCAGTAGGGATGTCATGAAAGTGTACGATTGACTTGGTTTTATTTGAAATGGTAGATTTGACTGATGCATTTGAGGTAGTACAATGACTTGGTAAGATAGTGGATGTCACTGATGGTGATGATGATATTAAATTTGATGGATTCATTGAATTTGTATCATTATTGATATTACTAATAGTGTTAGATGTGTAAGGAATACGTAAAAATGGTACTGGAGCTGTAGTATCTATAGGACTGTTATTCTTATTATCATTATTAACAGTCTGGTGATAAACTGTATTCATTTCAAGATCATTTTGCTGTATTGCATTTGGATAAATCATTGAGCTGTTGTATTGATAGGGTTGTGTATAATACAAGCGTTCAACAGACGGTTGATTGTTGTAGTGATAAGCGTTCTCATGCCAACTTTGGATCCACATATTTTGATGTCACTGAATTTTAGAAAGGAAAAGTTGGGGGGGGAGTGGTGGTGGTTGTAGAAATACAATTTAATCAATAAATAATCTTGGTAACTGTCATTGCTGAAAAAGAAATTAAAAGAATTACTATTAGTTGTTTACAATGGATATAGGATGTTAGGTTTCACAGTGATTTGAATAAAACTGTTACGTAAGCAACAAAATAATCAATAATTCAAAATTCCTAGCCTTTAGGGTGGAGTGTATATAACCCTGGAGATGTACAAGTTTTGTAATGTAGTTCAAGAATGCTCATGTTAGAAAAAAACTCCCAACAATATTAGTGCATATATTATTTATTGATTAGCGAATGAACATACCCAATTTCGAAATGCAAAGATTTGATTTTAACAAACATCCATTCTAAAATATAAACTTCGCAAAAATTCACAAATTACGGCTTTAATTTTGATTGGCTAATATTGTTTATTTTATTGGCCAATCAGAATGCTCGATATGTATATTCTTCTATGGTTGTTTCACACTCCCTTCATTTAATGCTTATATTTCGGCAAATCTGATTTGTTGGCTTAAAAAACCTGCAATTGGAAGGAAATAAAAGAAATTCGAAGCGAAAATGTATTTCGATTCATGTCAGTAAAAAGTTTGAGCATTGTGGAATAGATCAAATAAACAAAATAGTATTTCCACGGTTTACACACAATGACAAGTTTTTGTTATTGGTAATATTTCGAGCAAAATTGCTACTCGTGTTCACACCACTGTTGGAATTGTTTTGTGATTCCTTTTAAATAAAAATTTATACTTTATGTCGCTTTAAAACATTATAGCGACACTGGAAAATTTGAATGAATAATTATGACCGTCCATTGAGACTTTTATTCAAGTGGATGGTGGGTTTATCAGGGTTTTGAATACCAGAGATTTCTTGAGTAGGTCATGACAATAATCTTTTACTTTCCACAAATGGAACATTGTAACTCAATGAAACCAGCTGATGAGTTTTATGTGCAATGAAACATTCATAGACTATTCCGGTGCACAAACCGTTATCAAACAAGTAGAAAATATTCAGGATAACAACACGGGATGTGGTATTTTTTTATTCCTTTACTTTCCCAGTGGAACATAGGGCTTCAAGCTACAGGCTTGAAATTTCTGTAGCAGTGGTGTTTACTTTTACGGGATGGGGTTGCTAGCCTCATGCCCAACCTTCCCTCTTTACCCATCTTATTACTGGATTGGTGGGGTAAAGGAGTGCGTCGGCCGGGGATCGAACACCAGACCACATGCGTGGTTGGCGACCATTCTACCACTGTGCCACCGACGGGATGTGGTATGGATCCAGTTAATCATCGCATATTTTGCTGAGAATATAACTGATAACCTCAGTTCAGTTAAGCCGATCTAATAATGTTCGAAGTTGAAATGGATAGCGATCTTTACATTATTGATCTGGCACTGTATAGACTTAGATACAAGATCTGAAAGATTGATTAGGTTTCAACAATATTCCTGTTACTGAAGATTCTCTTCAGCTATGAGTCATACTTAACGATACATTTGTCATTACAAGTGATATTATATATTTGCTTAACTTGCACATATCTGCTTACTAGTTATACCATCCAACGTCTTCTCTGTGTAATTCATACTGACTTTATGCTCAAGCTTCCCCACCTCTTTAGTATCATTATTATCACTATTCCCTTGGGTTCCGAGTGGAACATAGGGCTTCAACAACACATCTCCACTTTGCTCTATTTTCTGCTGTCATCTTCAGCTGGGTACACGATTGACCATAATCTCTCATCTCCTCACAAGATCTCTTCCACGTCACCCTCGCACCGATGACCCACTCGTCGTTTCCCATTGAGATTCCACTCGAGAGATGGCCTGCACTGAGCGCGATGTCACTCGACGGCATCCTCAGCATATACCCTGTCCATCTCCAGTTTTTCCTACATATTTATTGAGCGATCGGCTCTTGGTTTGTTTTTTCCACTGCAGAGTTTCTTGATGCTAATTCTTTTTGGTCGGCTATTAGATCCTTAGTATGGAGCCAGCGAAGGCAGCTGTTGATAAAAGTCTGAAGTAGCCTGTTGGAAATACTTTCCGTGACGCGGGCACCACGTTCCTGACACATGTAGAAAAACTGACTGACTTCACATTTGTGTTGAAAATTCAAATCTTGTTCTTTATGCTGAGTCAGTGCAGAAGATTTCCAAACTGGTTTCAGATTGATGAAGACGTATCTTGCCTTTCCGATTCTGGCTGGCTTTGACATCTTCATCCGTACTGTGTGCCTGTGGTTGAAACGATGCTTCCTAGATAGGTGAAGGAAGTTTTTTTATTCCTACTTTCCCACTGGAACATAGGGCTTCAAGCTAGAGGCTTGAAGTTTCTGTACAGTTTATTTTACAGGATGGGTTGCAGCCTCATGCCCAACCTTTCTCCTCACCAGCTTTGACCTCTGTCAAATCTCTCCCGTTGATGGTGATTGGTGCTGGTTGTTGTTGTTGTTTGCTGTTGGTTGGTTGGTTATCTTCATCACCTCCGTCTTCTCTATGTTCACCTGGAATCCTATCTTCACTGCCAGCCTCTTCAGCCAGTTTGTTGGTTTTCTCCTGCCTGCAGGTCTTCAAGTTTTCGTGACATTAAGCATAAATCATTTGCGAAATCCAGATCTTCTAGAGTCTTCTTATCCGTGGTCCAGAGTATTCTTGTCTTCTCACCCGCACGCACAGTCTGACGCATAATCCAGTCCACCAAAATTAGGAATATCATCGGTGATAATAGACAGCCTTGTCTTACTCCTGTATTCACTTCAAACGCCTCTCTGAGTGAATTTTCTGTTGTGGATCACCTGACACGTGGCACTGTCATATAGCCAACTGTTGAATGAGGCTTGGGCACTGCACGCGGTAGTGTTGAAGTAGTTTCCAAATTACTTCTCGGTCAACGCTGTCGAAGGCCTTTTCGAAGTCGATGAAATTGAGGTAGAGGTTGACTGCCCGATATATAGACCTAATTTTCTACATGTCATTTTTACATGTCTGTTTGTCCTTCTCTCACCCCACTTATTGATTTATCACCAAATTTTCTCTCACGCTACTTATGACCTTTGAAATCCTATTGCTTACTCACTGTCTTAATTTATCAACGACATTAGTGCTTCTCAAGGTCATTTCAAACCTGTGCTTACGCAACTGCTGTTAACCTTTTTTGACTGTTGTTTGAGACAGTAAAAGCTGTCTTATCAACGTCCAGTCTTTTCTTCTGTCTTTGCGACCCGGCGGTGTTATTACTGTTGTTGATGGCGCTCATAGTCTACTAGGTCGTAGTTCCAGTCATAACACTGCCATTCTACCCTTAGTTCTGTGATGACGATGCGTAGAGTTGCAATTTGATCAGCACATGATTTGCCTTTCCTAAATCAAGCTTGTTCCAGGCTCTCGAAGTTCTGTATCCAGTGCATCTTTTATTCTCTCCAGGATGATGCGACTTAGTATTTTACTTGGTGTGGACAAGAGCATTATTCCATGCCAGTCAGTTCTTGCAGAGGCCTAAATCGTCCTTCATTGGTAGCTTGACAGGGTAGCCTTTCTTCCAATCAGTAGGTACCTTTCCTTCCTTTTTTGTAATAATGGCGTCAGCCCTCTATAGCATAAACTGTAAAAATAGAATACCAGAGTTATCTTTAGGAAGGTATATTAGGCAGAAATTAAGAAAAGTAAGCTTAAATACAAACTCTACTCCAATGCACTACACTAAACAACATTATACAACGGTGTAGTTAGTCTTCAACGCATTCGACATAAGACTGCTTTAGCGTGAATGTAAATTTTCATTCAGAAATGATAATCTCATAAAATATACCAGAGATATACTAACACTGTGTACAGTTGATCTGTGCCATAGACTCACCATTTGAAGTAACTAGATGTTAATATGATGAATTACTTAAATAATTAGCAACTAGCACCTATTACGTAATATCAAGTTAAAATAAGAGGTATCATTAGAATATACATTCTAGAAGGTTACACATCAGCGGAGACAAGTTATTCCGGTCCAATAAGAGTAAATAAGGGGAAATTAAAAGGTTTTATCACTCATTACATATTTTTCTTGTGTTACGAAAGTTTCAGGTAATTGTATATATATAATATATATATATATGATGTATTAAGGTAATGACCAAGAAACCGTGTGTCATTTTGAGTACATATTTGTTGGCACTCCTCAACAAAACATATTACCAACCTTAGAGAAACTCATATTTCTTGAACCTTCAGCTCCTACTTCAAAGGTCAAGGTGGTATCTTAGATTACACCATTACCAAACAAGTAACACCGAATCATAATGACTTTTCAGTCATTGAAAAATTTCCGTCTTTCCGTTTCGTATGTAGATTTCATCGCGAAATGAAAGGCATGGAATAGTGAATGTCTATTTCGGTCTAGTTTGCAATCCTCTAGCAACGTATATCCACGAATCCATCAGATTTCCATCCTGGAATTTTCAAGTTACGAGGCGATCCCATTAACTATTCAGCCAGGGACTCATAAATTCTAGTTTTTGTCTATTCTCCATGTGGATTCACTACTAATCAGTGTCATCTATGGGCACTCGCCTCACATCTGACATGGTGGATCTCATAGGCCAATACTTTTTATTAAAACTTCAAGATACCCGTTCTGTGACCAATAAAATGAGGAAAAGATTAATACTTGACTTTAGGTTTTGAAGGGACTGTGATTAATTTCAATGTAACCTGAAAATCCTACATCCCAACAATGGTAAGGTCATGGGTAAGCACTGCTGAGGAGCCACGAACTAAGCAGAAACAGCTGTCCAGCGGTTATTAGTTCTCAATGATTATTTAAGTAATGTCGATTTACGGCAAAACCCAAAAATGAGAAAAATGCTCATTAAAATGTTATTTCATTCATTTTGATAATGTTAATCAAGTTATATTGTGGTGTGTGCTACTGATAAGTTTTATCAGTAGTATATGAAGAGATGTTCATCGGCATAAAAACATCAAATAGCCAGGAGACAGATATGACATCAGAGAAAGCAAATGATACATCGTCGTGGAGAAACATGGAATACGTGAAAGGGAAACACAAAGAAACACAATATGAAGGAAGGCGAGAAGTAGTACAACACGGAAGATCTGTGCAAATTGTGCGTTGAAGATAAGGTGTACATAATTTGGCTATATAGAGGTACCAATTCCCACATTACAATACTATTACTTTAAAATAATATTTGTTTTATGAAAATAGCTATGTTCAGTAGCTGGCAGTATAGGCTGTGTTGCCAGGGTATTGGAATACATTTAGAATAAATCTGTTGAGATTTTAGTTTACTTTTAATCTTGTGTATTC